TCCCGACCCCCAGCCCGGTTCACAATCCCCGGCCCTGGTCCTGATCCCCAGCCCGGTTCACACCCCCGAGTCCCGGTCCCGACCCCCGGCCCGGTTCTCCCCGCTCAATCCAGGTTTGCTCCCCCCAACGCTGGACCCATTTCCCCCGGCTCGCTGCACCCCCAGCCTGGTGTGCCCCCTCCCAGCCGCCCGCTTTGGCTCTCCAAGCCCCGTTCCCCCAGCTCAGCCCAGTTTGCTCTCCCCCAGCCCTGCCTGTCCCCCAGCTCAGCTCCCCCTCCCCACGGTGCTCCCTCTCAGGACTGGGGGTCCAGCTGCTGTTGGGGGTCCTGGGGTGCAGCCGGGGGCTCCAGGACCCGTCTGTGAACACCCACAAAGGCACCCAGGTCCCCCAAACCCCAGAGGGGGCCAGTGCAATCTGTGACACCCCCTCTGCGAAGGGAACGTGCTGGCACCCAGCACCACGTGAGCCCGTGGGAAAAGCCAACAGAGCAGCCAAACTGCAAACAGGCTTTATTTCCCTCTTCCTTCTAAAATTTACTCACAAATGTGATTTCTGGGGGCAGCAGCATCACTCGGGTGCTCAGCTTCAGACCTGCAATGGTGGAAAAACTCCATCTGCAAAATCACATTGAAAATCACACTGAAAAATCACACCTGCAAACCAAACTCGCATTGAAAAATCACACTAAAAAATAACATCTGAATTTTTTTTGCCTCCCTCTGAGGGATCCTCACCCCCGCACACGTCTGGGAGTTGCAGCACCAGGAGGAAAACTGACCCTGGAGACTCCCAAGGTCACCAGCACAGTGGCCAGATGAGCCTGTGGGACTTTCCAGCTTTACGTGCTCCTAAAAGGCCTCTCTGTGACTAGAGACAAATTTATGGCTGTTCAACAAAATAAAGACAGGGATGGAAATTAATCTAAGAACAAGTGTTACCTGTGGCTGCTTCCTTGAAGCCCCTGACACAGGAGCAGCTCTCACTCTCACTGGCTCCAGTGCCCCATCACACTCATCCCCACAGCTCAGGAAAAGCACGAGGGAAAAATCCCTCTGGCTGCAGCTGGGACATGGCACTGCCCATCCTGCTGTGGCTGTGTGAGCCCCAGTCCTGCTGCCAGCAATGCCAAGGCAGGGGCTGAGGGCTGGGCAGGGGACGGAGGGACCCTCGTGGCTCTTGCGAAGCTGCTGCGATGCCCTGGAGTGAAATCCTCCAGGATCCCCCTGCCCCGACCGTGGAAAATTCCTCAAGTGGCTGCAAAGCTGATGGCAGCGAGCTGGGCGCTGAATCCAGGGGTCCTCCCTGGTCCCCAGCAGGGAAAGCTGGAGAAGCCAGAGCTGGCAGTGGGGGGCCAGCTCTCGCTCCTGCCTGGGGATGGCAGCTGCAGCCATCAGGAAAGGCTGGGCAGGAGGAAGGAAGGCACAGAGGCCTTGGAAAGGCACTGGGATCTGCCTCCAGCTGCATCCCGGAGCTGCTGAGGGAGAACTGAGTTTGCCTGGATCCACCCATCCCTGTCCAGACTCTGCAACCCCAAACCAGCATCTCCTGCTCCGTCACTTTGGGGGCAGTGAATTCACCAACACAGGGGGGTCCCCTCTCCTCATGACCCACCCCTGGAGGGTTCCAAACCCACTGCACACAGAGAGGCATGGAAAAGAGAGAACAATGCTTAAAATCATAGAATGGTTTGGGTTGAAGGGACCTTAAAGCTCATCTCGTTCCATCTCCTGCCATGGGCAGCTGATCTGAGCAACCTTTTCCTTGACAGGGAAACTGCTGCCCAGGCTAAACTATAAATACAAAGATAATTTTAATTAATTTATTTATTTCTTTACACATAACTGAAAGTGATGTTACAGTACATAAGTTATTTACAACTGTGCAGTAATGTGTTGCAAAATAAATTATCTAGAAGGCAGCAAAAGTACATTGTTAATGTATATAAAAACTGTACAGCATTTATGGGATACAATTTTTCTTTATATGAGTATTGGCTCTGTAGTGTTTTCAAGTTATGTTCTCAGAAAGAGAAACGAAATGCCCAAGATTAAAGGAAAAAATATATAAACCACGTGGATTTTACTCCATTAAAAACACAGTTGGCAAAGTCCTTTCTCTGCGTCGCCGTCTCCCCGGCCGTGCCGCCCCGGCGGCTCCTCTGCCCGTCCCCAGCGGCTGCTGCGGGGCCACCGGCACATCCCGGAGCTCTCCTCGCTCCGGAGCCGCCGCTGCCCAACGTGGACACTGTCCTTTTTGTTTCTAATTGCTTTTCCTTTTTTTTTTTTGTG